GTGTGTGTGTGTGTGTGTGTGTGTGTGTGTGTGTGTGTGTGTGTGTGTGTGTGTGTGTGTGTGTGAACATTAGATATTAGAATTTTTGTCTCAAAATGACTTCAGGAATCTGCCATTAGCAGGTGGTGCACCGAGTCTGAAACACCCTGTATATACATGAATCAAGAAATATATATACATATATATGAAAAAAAAAAAAATTATAACAATATTCACATTGCTGGAGTTAATGGTCCTACTATAACTTTACAAACATCCTTTTTGCCAAGAGCCATAAATGCAGCAGTCATACTTTGAAAAGCCGAATCTATACATCCATTCCTATGTGTGAATTAATAAATTCAATTAAAAATGTAAAGACAATATAAAATAATAAGAGCTTAAATAAAGAACACTTTACAAGTGCTTAAAGAATTTATAAAGAAAATATAATCTTTTTACCTGTAAATTTCATCTAAAAGTTTGATTGCAGCTTCTTTGCCAAGATCTTCAGGTACACATGGCAACGAACCTGTTGTCATTAATGGAGAGAATGCTTGTGCGCTAAAAAATACTTCTTTAGTAGTTTCCGCTGTCAATGTGACTCCAAAACCTGATACATAACAAAATGTATAATAGAAACGACAAAAAAATATGATAATGATAAATTATAATTACACATTTGGATGAATATACATTATAATATAATACATAATACAATATTACCAGGAGACTTTCCACTGATTGATCTTTTACAATGGTCTGCATAAATATATACATCTGGTAAAAACTTGAGAAGAACACTTTTTGCTGATTCAACAATACGATTAGCAATTACTGGAGAAACTCTTATGCAATATGCGATACCTCTAATACGTTTTACCATTCCACTATCTTCCAACTGATAAAACAAAATAGAATATTACAAAATGGTATCTTATGCATGTACGTATAAATATGTGAATACCTGAATAGTTTTAAGGTTACGATTAATAGGACATTTAAATTGTACTTCTCCACCTCCTAAAGGAGATATTCCTCTCTTGCAAATATCTAATATAACTTCATTGTCACCTGTTAGAAATTTTTTCAGTACTGATATACCAGCGGTCTGAATTCTGTCCACTGATGGATCTTGTAATACAAATTAAATTAATGATCGATTTTTATAACAAGTATATATTGTCAATATATTGTCCAGTACCTATAGTATTATTGGTCACCCCTCTGAGCTTCAAATCAATACGACTTTTACAAAATGGAGCAAGTATCATAATTGCTTCCAAATAATAACCAATTCCTCTTTGCAAGCTACAATCATGTTCTAATTCACCTCCATGTAATAAACCAGGATTGTAATATATACTGGTACCAGTTTCATTTAATTCAATTTTTGTACCATTAGTCATCTTATCCAACAGATGGATAAAACTAATCTCATATTCTGTTATGAAAAGAATTGAAAAGTTATTTAAAAAAAAAAAATATATATATATACAGGGTGTTAGTTAAGTATGTTGTCATACTCAACAGAGCGATTCTTTGGTTTATTTCAAGTAAAAAAGTTCATATAAACATGTGTTCTAAACGGCTTAGTTTCTGAAATAAAAAAATTTAAACGTGTAGTAATAATCTGTTTATTTGAAAGAATACAGCTTGAACTAGTCAAAAACTAGTCAAAAACAGAAAAAAAAACAAAAACAGGCTTCAATTCTTCTTATGAAATAAAACCATTAGATGAAGTGTTGAAAATGTCCACCTTGCGATTTTGATAGACTGAAACAATTTGGTCCGAAAACGTATGTACAAGCTAACTGACCGGCAGCAACATCAGAACTGAAGTCTATTTTTTATTTTGTGACTTTGATTTTGACTTTGTCACTTTGTTTACGGTTGTGCAAATGGTAACTCACTTGAAGCAAGGCATATTTATGCAGGAAGATATCTCCAACACAATTTACCGTTTCATCAAACATTTGCAAACATTCACCTGTATTTCGGAAACTAAGCCGTTTAGGACATATATTTATATGGAATTTTTTACTTGAAATAAACCAAAGAATCACTCTGTTGAGTATGGCAACATACTTAACTAACATCCTGTATATATATATATATGCGCGCGCGCATCACACGCACGCACACAGATGCAGATCACCAGAGGAGCTGACATATACGTACAGTTCATAAAAAACTGAATCGAAAAGGCCTCTATTATTTTGCAATGATAGCAACAATTAACTAGATACGAATTTCTAAAAATTGCCAAATATGCAGCTAAACTTGATGTATAAGGCAGCATTAAGATATCTCTTTCAAAGTTCTTTTTATAAAGATATAAATATCTCAAAGATATTTCTTAAAGAACTCTTAAAGATATCTTAAAGTCGTTTTATGCATTGATTTTAGACATTCTGCTTATTGAGTAACTAAAAAAAATTGCAAAAATTGCAATATGATAGAGGACTTTTCGATTCATAAACAGTATGTACATGCTGGTTCCTCCAGCTTGTCTGGATCATCCTGTATATATAATTGTTATATGTGTAACTGCGACATATGTGTAATAAAGCGACAACAGTCTTAATGTACAATATCGAAATGTAGCAATTAATAGCATTAATTCTTGTGCAATAGCAATAAAAATCTTATTTTATAGAATTTAATTACTGCAACAAAACATTTCTATTTAAGTTTTATTTTTTTCTTTAAATCAGGAAACAAAATTAATTATACATAAAGCATCTTTAATAATGTTAAATTATTATGAAGGTTAAATTATTATGTTATTCTACTTACATTTATTCACATATTATTGCAATTTTATAGATATAGTCAAATATAGAAACATTCAATTTATGTATTTACTAAATAATACTAACCTTTGAGACCAGGGTCATCATTTTTTGTTCTAATATTTGTAATTTTTACTGGCTTTCCAGATAATGTGGACAATAATAAGCGATATCTAAGATAATTACTACCCTCGTATACAAGTATTTTGTTTTTAATTTTAGCTGACATTTTGTAAAAACATAAAATTAATCTTTAACCACGTTACTACTGGTTACTATTTATATTCGTGCGTATTTATATGTATAAACTATTTGGGCTGTGTTCTATTTACCAAATTTACTGCCAGTGCTGAAAATGCTATGCGTGGTCTACAATGGGCAGTAGCAGTAGTGGATTAAAGCGGGGAGCACAGACTCTTGCATAACGCATAACACGTAATGCATAAGAAAATGTACCAATCAAAGCCCTCCGTTTCCTTCCTTTCCATGAAATAAAGAATTCTGATTGATTGAATTTCTTATGCATTACATGTTATGCGTTATGCAAAAGTCTGTGCTCCCCGCTTAAGGAGTAAACGCAGAAATCAACCAATCATAATCGAATGTGAGAAAGATAATCAACTATGATTAGTCGATTTCTGCACCTACTCCTTAATTCACTACTGCTACTGCCCATTGTAGACCACGCAACAGTTTACGTTAAAGGCCATGGCACCCACCTTCCGTACCAGTATCCATAAGACGTACCGTAAGAATCAGCCAATCACAGTAGAGAATTCTTTTGAACTCTTAATTCTAATTGGCTGATTCTTACGGTACGTCTTTACTGTTACGGAATGTGTGTGCCATGGCCTTTAGCCCGTATCAGACTACCGACTCTGCAAGCCCGACTGCCAACTCTGGCTGTTGACCAATAATGGACCAATCACATTGAATCAGTCTTATTGTGATTGGTCCATTATTGATCGGCAGTCATGACTCCTGCACACTGGATGCGGCAAAATGCGACGCGGTAACCAATGAACATATTAGGAGCTATAAGCTTATTGGCTACTGCGTCACATTTTACCGCACGGCAAGCGTTTCCGCGTCCAGTGTGCAGAAACCATCAGAGTTGGCAGTCGGGTCGGCCTGCAGAGTCGGTAGTCTCATACGGGCTTTAAGCTGGTTCTACATTAAGCTGGTTCTACATTGATCACATCGCAGCGTTGCAAGCGTTATAGTCCAATCAGAGTCGAGTTAGCTTGACGTTGATTGGACTGCAACGCTTGCGACGTTGCGATGCGACTAATGTAGAACCAGCTTTACCCCGCATTACCCCGCAAACGCAATAGAGTAATGAGCTTTAAGGCATGTCTCCAATAGAGGTCCGTAAGCTTATGCCTAAAGGTGCATTCACATGCAAGCGTCAAGCATCAAGCAGCGGAAGCAGCAACCAATCAACGAGGCGATTTTTACAGTGGCGTAAAAAATAGTTTTGCACCACCGTCCGTATCACTCGATGTCTTAACTCTTACTAGAGAAACTCTACCCATATCGAATTGCATTCAGTACCACGACTGCTCACTGAGCGCTCAGTGAGTTCTTGTATCTGTTTGGTCTATATTTTTAGTTACAGAGGCTGCGGTCCACTTGATTACTGTAAAATCCTCAATACATTTTATTGTGGTATTTGATAAAATATACATTAGGTATTTTATTAATTAAGATATCTCACTTTTACATTCAGTTTAGATTATTGTACAACAGCTTTAATGTGCACCGAGTGCGCACCAATTCTGCCAGTGAAAAACGCTATAAGGGTGCGGTCCACTTGGCGCTACAAATGCTTTGAAGCGTTTGATTGACCAATCGGAAGAAAGAATCTTACTAATTGATCAATCAAAAAATGCTTTGAAGCATTTGTAGCATCAAATAAACCATAGCCTAAGGGTAGGATTTGTGCGTTTTGTCGTACGACAAATTTTTCAAGCCTGTTGATTGGTTATGGGATAGAGAAAACAGGATTCCGATAATATGAAGCAAAATTCATCGGAATCCTATTTTCTGATTGGTTGCAGAACGTCGTACGACGAAAATCGGATGCAGGGTAAATCCAGCATCAGTTAGCGGTTGTAGTACTGAATGCACCTGGAATGCACCCATCGAGTGCACGATGTAAACTAGGCCTACGTAGGACAGAATGAAGATGCTTTTTAGATCTTAGTATAGTCGCATTATTAATGGTACGTTTTAGTCGTTGAGGATTTGGGCTAATTGTGACGAATGCTCAAAAATCTAAAGTCATTCAGTTCTGTTTAAAGTCATTTGATACTCGTTGTTTGTCGGCGCATTTAATAATTTCATTAAATTCGTTTATACAATCTTCTCATACTATAATGGAAGAACTGGGCATTATTTTACCCGATAAGGTACGTTTATCATTAATTGCGTCTGCATGTCTGGATTTGTGGACGTAACGATAACCTTTTCTGCATAACTAAAATTATCATTAAGCCTCTTCTTTTTGATGGGATTACAGCTGATCATTTTAAATGAAAAAATTGTGCATGTATAAATAATAATACACGTACATGTTCATGCAAATATACATATATACTTATGTACATTTGTACACGCATACAGACGTATCTAATTAAGGCGCTAGATATGTAGATATTCCTATCCGCCATTTTGGTTCTACTTGATTGACATAGTACGATTAGTGACAAAGGTAAATGTTAATTAAGATGAGTCCGCTCACCTCAAATTTTGATAAAAATATACTGAATTGTTTTCGAGTAAACATAAAGATTTGACAAGAAAAAAGTGTCGCTCTGCTCCGCAAACCGAGATATTAATCCTTAAAGTGGACGACTATTCGGGTTAGGAAATCTGTCACAGCAGTGGTTCACTGCGTTAAAAACACAAATGCTCTGCTTTTAAAATAAAAATTCACTACTTTAGCAGAATACACCCACACCCCCCCCCCCAC